TGAGCGGTACGATCGTGAGACGAAGTGGATGAATTTGGAGCGAAGAGGCGGATCAGTCAAAAACCTCGTCATGCCAGGCAGATTTCCGGTAAGCTTTTTCATCACCAATCTGAACACGACATGAGTCGTATGAGGAATAGAAAGAAAGAAACGACGCACAGTGTTATGATGGTTCTATTCTGAAATGATGCTTATAACCGAACTCCAGTCGGGAGTTGAGGGATTGTTTCACTCAGGTAACCTTAGCAGTTGCGCTGAAATTCAATTACCCGACAATCAGGTTGATATTGAGCCCGCTTGATAAGATATGGAGTCTTCAGGGTGACTTGAAGATTATCTGATAATCAGCATATCGTCGGGGCATCGGCACATATTGTTCCTGGTGGTTGAACCGTTGAAGTTGAAAAAGTCGCAGGCAGGGAAGCCGCACAACGGTAATGTTGCGCGCCCGGTACAGCCCGAATTGCAATGAATGAAGCCGTGCTCCTTGCGGATCAGAGTCAGAGGTAGCTTTCATACAGAAATGCGACATGTACCTGCGGAAAGGCTGGCCTGACATGTGCTGAAGTCCTTGTAATCATGAAACTGATACGTCCAGGAAGTAGAGATACCGCGAACAAGAACATTCTTGACGAGGATTCCGCGAGAAGTGGTCAACGCGATTTTGAAATCTTTGATGTGCGCGGTCATTTCCACGCTTCTGTAAAAGTCTTATCCACCGTGTCATGCGTATCCGAGTCCCAATAGGGCTCAGTAGGGTCATAGTTTGTGGAAGTGGAGCCCTGGTGACCAGGGACTGCTCTACAAAGCATGTTCAAAAGTTAATCCGCTACACCTGGTAAGACCCTAGTCGAAATGGATCTTCAGTCTCCCGAAGATTAGCCTGCGCAGGAGCACCAGATACTGGGGATGAGAGATGCATGATGGACGGCCCAGTTTGGCAATGGACGTTGTATAAATTTCGAAACTCGATTGCTCTGCTCGAAGGATCTTTCATCGTGATTTTTGAGGTAACGGCTTGATTTTGAGATTTGTACGATTGCGCCGGGAACGGAACATGAAATCAGGAAAGAAGTTAATCCATGCCTAGAACGCATATGAGCAACCCTTTTACTACTTATAATGGAGCACATACTCACACCGCGGAAATCGGTCTTGAACGAAACAAAGCTCAGACGGTCATATATCATGTATATCTACGAAGAGGTACTTAGTTTGAATAAAGTGATGACTCGTATAGGCAGACGTACTTTTGAGACAGGATTCTACCTCCCACATGAAGGTGCCCGACTATTCTCTTCCCAGATTTTCGATCATTACATCGCGATGCAACGCTTGCAATTTTCTCATTGCAGACGTTCCAGAGGATGTATGCACGGCGTGGTGCGTTCCGGAAAATTTCCAACCAGTCACAATGCCGTCCTTTCCATGACGCCCGATACAGAAACAGACTCGGAGGTCGACAAAACACCGCTTGAGGTGACGCAGTATTGACTGCGGTTGTCGGAAGAAATACCGTTGCTACATCGTGGTAGTTATAGTAGGATGTCTAATCTCCAGATACGTGTTGAGCGAGGGCGCGGTATCCGGTTATAATTTATTCGTTTCATCCGAAAGTTCGAACAAGCACTGTGCAGCTCCTGCTGAACAGTTATCACCACTTTTAAAAGCAAAACGACTCAAACGACGAACCTGGTCACGAAATCGACAATGATAAGCCGCAGCCCTTTTTTGGTCTTCCCAGGTGAGTCCTGACAGACAAGCAGTCGAAATTGAATCCATCCCACTAAATCAAACCCGCGAAATCCCTTCCCAATGTCGTCGTCGCACCGTCTGGTAGAGATTTTGTTGCCTTGATCTACTGCACAATCCGTCTTGATACCCGCATCCTGTTCTACCCACAAGGATCTGTCGACGGCATCGCATATTTTCCTTCTGTTTCAAAGTTGTTTCCTAACGTGTCTTGGGCCCTCATTCGAGAGTGTTAGTCAGAAAGAACGTCTGGTTATCGTGAAATCTTATCCAGGGCGAGACGCAGTAGACGAGACAGACACGAATCGAGAAACCGAATCGCTGCCATGGAAGCGAGGAAGGAAGGTGGATGATCACGTGCACCAGCGGCAAGGCCGCGATTGCGGCGTGAGAACAACTTGGCTTTTCAGTCCTCATGCTCGTACTCCAGCGCTCTCCGCAATGCCAGCCAAGGGAACAACTCTTTTACCAGCATCCCTTCCGTTAATAATCTCTGATAACTCGAAGACTATAAGCCAACTGTCAATTCGTTGATGACCGCCATATCCTTGCCACGGAACAGACATTGATTCAATATCCGCAAGTAGCCAATGTTAATGAGTTTAGACCTCGTTGCTGTCTGCTGATGAGCCGGAGATGTTGAATAACAGTTCTCGTATGTTTTTTGTGTCTGGGTAATGTGCTGACTGACATTCTTGTTTAGAAAGCCGTCAGGTTGGGAACGAACTGTAAGAAGCTGCGGAGACTCTCGGAGTCGCGATTAAACACTAGCCAGGTTCATGGGCTGCTCAGTGCTTCGTGGCCTTTGATGGGTCGTTGGGAGTGGCACCACCTGCAGTCGACTCGTGGCATAAACACGCTCGGGGTGCAGGGTCGCGTTGCGATGGCGTAACCAATGACCGTTGAACGGATTGTCAACTCAGACTGGTTCTGGTTATCAGGATTCTCTACTACGGGACATTCCCTTTGTCGTGAGCGGGCCGGGTCGTGATGGCACAATAACTTTAAGACGGTGATAGGGTACGTGTGTTCTTGTTATCAATGCGCGTCGAGTTTGAATTGGAATCGTTAGTGCCACTCTGTCAAGGACAAAGAACATTGCGTCAAATTAACCCCCCTTTGTCTTAGCCGACATACAAGGTCTAACACTCTACCACCGTCTTCTTTCATTCCTTTCCCCTTCCTTCCTTTCCTCACTTGTCATGTTACCCCGTGATTTAACCCGGCTCGTCGACCCCCCTATCGCGAAATCCCCAATTCCTTGGGCTCCCTTCGTATCCGAATTTGATTTGGCGCAGCTAGACAGCCCTGATACTTATGCCTATCATATTCTCATTCTTTCGACCGACCCTCCTCCCGCTCCTGCAGATGTTGACGAAGATGAAGACGGACAGATTCAGATACACTGGCTCTTCGAAGACTTGAAGCGGATATTCTCCGAGACGCGTCATACATTGACAATTACCACTCCCGCGGACGCCGCCGCACTCTACCATGTACTCCAGTATTCCGATCCCAAAATATCAAAGACCATCCTAGAGTCGTACGACGTCCTAGAGCTCATCGAGCTCAAACGCATCACCCCATGGAACTTGGAACGTCTTGTGTTTCCCCTCCCATTGCACCGCTTCCCCACTCTACGGATGGTTTCAGTCTCACCCTCTCCGCCCCTCTTCGGCCCTGACTGCACCTCCATCCCCGCGACCCGCTCCGCATCGTGGGAACACTCGTACCCCGTCGACCCGCGTATCCTCCAAATTGACTCGGTCAAACGCATGAACCTGAATTTATGGCGACATGTCCTCGGTCGATTCTCTGACGTCGAAATCACACAGAGCCATATCATACACAAGATGGTGGCTACAGATCATTTCGTCTGGGTGCACAACTTGACTGTGCTTTACCTAGCAGATTGTTTGATCGAGCGAGAAGTGCTGCTAGGGATCATTGACAATCTGTTGGTGTTGAAGGAGCTGCGACTGGTCAATTTACTGGTGGAGAATTCCTATAACCAGGACGCGGCTTTGCCCAGTCGTCTAGAGGATTTAACGGATCCGAATGCGAGAACGAAGTTGAAGGTCTTGGAGCTGGTAGGGATGGATAGCCATTATGGCATAGGCCCTATTTTGAAGTGCCTCAATAGGGAGGAATCGGTAATCACGCCATTTGAATTGGATGGGTTGACTATCCAAAGCTACTCGCAGTATGGCGCCCTCGACTCGGTTCGCATCGTGGAAATTCTCCGTAAAAATGATCGCGCGAGAGAGCTAGGGCTTGGAGAGAAAGAACGTAAGTAAAGTACCGTGCAATTATCATACTCCGAAAACTAATCTTCCTTCTAGTGCAAGCAATCCTGGAAGTCAAGGACGTGATGCCGCCTCCCAAACCTCTCGGAGTGCAGTCCCTCATGTTCGAAGTCAGCAACCTCTATAGCGTGGAAGCCTTTTTGCAACCAGATGGATGGTTACCTTTCCTTCCTCATCTCACTGATGTGAAGATTGTCGTTTGCGGCCAGGAGGCGTATATCTCAGATTCGACGCTGGATTCCATTGCGAAGATTTTGAGTGAACGGAAGGTGCCGGTACGATTGGAAGTGATACCTGATGGGACTGTTCGACGAGCTCCATGACGCGAGTTTATAGTAAGGGTACTGGATGAATGTCGATAAACATTAAATATCTGATTACCGCACCTCTTTCGTGATATATCCACTTGTGAATATAGTATATATTTACCATATAACTGACTTTGCTCATATGTAGCGGATGTCAGAAGAGTGGCTTCGCCCTCAGTACTCATCAGCCAAACCCAAGCAGTACCACTACGAGCAGGGGTGGATGATCGTGAGGGACTTGTCGAAATATCCAGATCAACAGAAAAACCAAGGGAACATTACCCTTCCGAAGGTCCTCAAGCTTCATTGAACTTGGTTAAGCTTAGAATCGTGGCCTGATAAGCCAGCTTTATGAAACTCTTGAAGAACGGGACTCGTTACTGTATATTTATTAATTTAATTTACTAATTATTTTAAAGGTATTTAGAATATTATTCCGGCAGGAGAGTCACGCGATCCACAAGTCCCCCGGAATCAGCCGGGAATCGGGATCTTCCGGTGATCACCAATCGGACCGTACGCCTCCATCCCTTCTTCCACAATTCAAAACCTTCGTTTCCCTGCTGTATTGAGGTCTTAAAATTAGTATTTGAAGCAATAGAATACGTAATGTAGCAAAATAGAAGAAAAATCTTGACTCCTAAGCGAGTTGAACGCTTGACCTTGTGGACGCACCAAAGCTGGAATCACACGCTCTACCACTGAGCTAAGGGGTCATATATGCTTTGCGCTTTGTACTCCATTATAACCCCCAGGGACTTTGGGAGATCCAGGAGATCCGGACGATCGGTCCGAGCCCCCAGAGCTTGCTCTTCCTCTGCATGTCCATTCGCCCTTACCTTCCTTTTATCAACCACGGTGGAGGCTCCGCGCTGATAATGTGTACACCGAATGCCTTACAGCGCTGTAGGAATGGGGTGCCATGTGAGCAGCACTGCCTCCTGCACTGAGGCTGGAAACGAACTATAAAATAGGCGCTCAGATAACGTCAATTACCGCCATCATCACCCATGGAGGCCGTAGGGTTTGCATCCGCCCTCATTTCCTTGGTGGAAGCAACGGTGACAGTCATATCATATCTGAACGACGTCAAAAACGCACCAGCGGAACGTACCCAGCTCTTGAAGGAGTTAACATCGCTCAATATCTTTCTGGGAACCCTCAACAGCCTTGTACAAATAGCCACTGAGCCTGACACATCGACGGCCGAATGGTTGGCTACCGTACGAGCGCTGGATGTTCCCGATGGACCTTTCAGACAGCTAAGCAATCTCCTTGAAGATTTGAAGCGGAAACTGGCGCCGGAGGGATCACGAACATTTACTACAAGGTTGGCAGAGAGGATAATGTGGAAGTTCAGTAAAGAGGATGTCGAAGATATGTTAAAGAAGGTGGAGAGGGTAAAATCGCTAGTGATGGTTGCTATGCAGCAAGACCATATGTGAGTTCTCTCTTGTTATCAGTAACCGTTCTCAATCTACTTCATCAGATCCTTGACGCGAGCCATACACGAAGACATAGCTCGTGTCGATACCGTAGTCAGGCAAATAGCTAGTTCGTCTACCAAAGTCGAGCGCGGCATTCTTCGACTCGAAGGTGGCATCTCTGGCATTGAGGGATCCATGGAAAAATTACAAGACAACGCCGATCAGAAGCAGAACCGTATGTTTGTCCCGTTAATATCGTCCTGACTAACCTCACAGTTCCACAGAAGAAATATATCTTAAAATTATCAGCTGGATCTCCCCGTTGAACTTTAGAGCTGTGCAATCGGAAATATATTCTCGACGTGTGGATGGCACTGGACGGTGGTTTCTCGAGTCCGAAAAGTTTCTTCGTTGGGTTGATGGGACGGAGAGCTGTCTATGGTGTCCGGGCAATCGTATGTCTGCATTCAATTCACCTTCGCCGCGTATGTTCTGACATGTACAATATCTTCAGCCGGCGTAGGGAAGACTGTTCTCGCGTGCGTTTCATAAATTTCAATTGACAATGCTCCATGCTCATTGTTCCTCAGATCTATCGCCACAAACCACCTGCAGACGACGGGACTCCTCGTTTTGAACGTGTTCTGTGACTACCGCAGTCAGAAAACGCAGTCTGTGTCCCAGATAATAGCTGCGCTATTCAAACAGCTGGTCCAAGAGTTAGGCTATATTTCTGATTTTGTCAAAGCTATCTACGATGATCATCGCCGACTGGACACTATTCCCTCCCTTGAGCAGCTACGAAGCTACCTTTCTCGGGAACTGCAACAGTATGAGCGCGTGTATATCATCGTCGACGCTCTGGACGAAGTAAAAGATGAAGATCGCGATCTTCTAGTTAAAATCCTTCGGTCCATTGGCTCTGAGATTCGTGTATCCCTTCTGGTCACTTCCCGCAACATTGCTTCCATCGGATCTCTATTCAGGGACTGTACGGCCCTATCCATCCGCGCGACCGATGAAGATATCGGAGCTTACATAGCTGACAGGCTGTCAAGAGGCCATCTTGCGAGCCACATCAGTGGTCGTGGTGAACTTCGCGATGATATCATCAACGGCGTTATTGGAGCAGCGAAGGGCATGTAAGGCCAAGTTCATCATCCTAGTCCAGTTCACTCACTGTAATGACAGGTTCCTCCTAGCTTGTCTCCACATGGATTCCCTTGCCGAAGCCACCAATCGCAGACATCTGCGTAACGCGCTCGCAGAACTTCCTGATACTGTTGCCGACGCATACAATGAGGCATTACGGCGGATTGACAGTCAAGGGAAGCACCGCAAAGAGCTTGCGTATCGCATCCTCTCGTGGATCGCGTTTGCGAAGCGTCCTCTCACTGTTTTGGAGCTCCAGCATGCATTCGCCGTTGAGCGGGGCGCACAAGAGTTAGATGTAGAGAATATCACTGACAGCGATGTCTTATGTTCAGTTTGCGCTGGACTCGTAGTCATTGAGCTTGTGACACCCACTGAATTGGACTACCCTGACGACCCTCCGTCGCCCACGTTTTGCTTCGTCCGTTAGTGTTTCACGTCATCGTGTTAAGCACTCAGTTTCTAATCGTGTCGTAGATTATACAACGCAGGAGTTTCTCGAAGCAAGACAGTCAGATCTTTTCCCTCATATTCAACTCGATATCGCAAGATCATGCTTAAGCTATATGCTCCTGCAAAACGTCCATCTCGACATTCCCGGATTCGCTTTCAGATCATTCGATATTACACGTCTATTGGTAGATCCCCATTCCGAGCGGAGATATCCATTTCTCGCGTATGCATTTTGCTACTGGGGCTTGCATTGCATCCAGGTCGAAGACTCCCTACAAAGTGATATCCTTCAGCTCTTGCGTGACCAGCAACGGATTAGTGCTCTTTATGGAGGACCACATATTGTACCTTTTGGACGGGGGATTCAGCCTTTGCATCTCGCAGCATCTTTCGGCATGCTGCGGACTACCGAGATACTTCTAGCTTCTGGAGCGAATCTTGATTGCGCTGACGCAGAGGAACGTACACCATTGATTTATGCTGCCCGTGCGGCAACGGTGGATATTGTTGCGTGTCTCTTGCGCCACGGTGCTAACACTAGTGTTACGGACCGTTGGGGCCGGACACCATTAATGTGGGCTGTAAGTGCCGTGTCTGAGGATGCGGTCAAGCAGCTACTTCAGTCACACAGTATCAGTGAAGATATCAACGCGGTCAGTAGGGAAGTGACTCCAGAGAGTGCGCTTTCCTTGGCGGTGCGGGGAGGAAGCTTGGGCATGGTTAATCTGCTATTAGGGGTAGACGGGATGATCGTACATCCTGTCGGTAGGACCCGCTCGATACTAGCCGATGTCGCTAGCGTTGACATTGCCCAGTCATTACTTGCACGACCAGATATTCAACCTGACTGGAAGGATGACCGTCTGATGACGCCGCTCTCCTATGCTGCTCAGGAAGGGCGGGCGGGCGTTGTAGCGTTGCTGATACAGCGCGATGATGTCGATGTAAATTCGAAGGATTTCTGTGGGATGACGCCGCTGGCGCATGCGGCTGTCTCCAAAAGAGTCGACGTCGTCAAAGTACTGCTAGAGCACAGTGGAGTGGATCCTAATGTCCGTGATGACTTCGGTCGGACGGTATTAGCTCAGCTTATCGTTGCTAGCGATTACTTCCAGGATCCATATCCCTCATCCTCTTTGGAAGGCGCCCGTGAGGAGATCTCAGCGATGTTGTTGAGGAGATGCGATGTGGATATCAGTGCACAAGATATGTATGGCACGACGCCGTTGTCATTCGCAGCTCAGAGTGGTCTTCTAGCGATAGTGAAGATGATTTTGGATGTTGAAGATGCCAGTGTCGATATTAAGGACCAGGACGGCAGGGTTCCACTCTCGTACGCAGCCCAATATGGTCACCTCGATATTGTGCAGCTTCTATTAGGGCGGAACGGTATGCGTTCAAGCAATATCAAGGACAACACAGGCCGAACACCGCTTGTCTACGCTGCATCTAACGAGCACCTGGATATCGTGGAAGTTTTATTGCGACGAAACGATGTGGATATCAATCACCAAGATGTCGACGGCATCCCATTTCTTCATTTCGTTGCTCGCCACTGGCTCATAGACGTTTTCGATTTGATCTTGGATGTCTGCGGTGAAATCCTGGACGTGAACGTCAAGGATAACGAAGGCAAGACCCTACTTTCGCATGCAACCCAGTATTGCTACAATCATATGGTGCGCCGTTTACTCGACCGGAAGGTCCTGCAGGCCGATATCAAGGATAACAAAGGCTGGACACCTCTATTTTATGCCATGACAAATCAGGGCATCATGCATATAAAAGTGTATCGAAACTCTGGGGACACAGAACCCTCGGCCTTCCCCGTCACTGATCTCAACAACCCTTCGTGGCTGAAAAGCCAAACATTGGCATCACTCCCAGATTACCGCATTGACCTGCGCCTCGAGGTCATTCGTCTTCTACTCGGACGAAGCGATGTGTCTCCCAACGTTACGGATAATGTTGGCCACGTGCCGATATACTATGCCATCAAGAACAACGATATTAATGTTGTGAAATTTTTCTTGGAACAAGGCATCGTGGACATGAAAACTGTACTTTCCATTGACATTCCTGACTTTAATGGTGGATACGAGGACGTCAATGTGAAGGATAGCAATGGTAGGATACTGTTCTCCTATGCAGCGGAGCGAGGAAGTGTCGCCGTGGATCTTCTTCTGGAGCGCACCGACTTGGATATCAATTCACAAGATAATAAGGGGCGAACACCACTGTCGTATGCTGTAGAGAATCAGCGTATACGGACTATCGAAGCCATTTTGAAGAGACAGGTCGTAAACGTGGATCTCAGCGATATGGAAGGGTTTACGACAGCGACTTTGGGTTGGGTTAATTATACTGGGCGGTTGAAAGAGTGTTCGTATCCGCACTAAGGCAGAGTTGCACATATGCTGAGGACGTACGGGTGCGCTGACAGCACAGAAGTGTTCATCTGGAAAAGACTTTCTGTGAGCATAGCGTCAACCCGATTACATAGAACCAGAATACTTACCCAGTGCTCTATAGCCGGCAGACTTTATAGAGTACTATACAGTTTTCACAGGGGACTATATAGTTCATCACGGAATCAGATCAAATTCAACTGCCATAGTGCTATAGTGCACGCACGTGGACGGCTGGTGCCTCTCAATTTGACGCTTTCAACCTCGCAGTACGCC